TCTTTCTCTTCTTTCTTTTTTCTCTCTATTCGCCCTGTGAGTATCAGATTTTCCAGGCCCTCCTTTCTCATTACGTGTCCCAGAAATTTCATCTTCCTCTTCCTTTAGAGGTAAACCTCATTTATTCTTAGTTTGTGGTGGTCAACCATTCAACGATTATAAAATGGAAAACCAGATGTCAGGGTGGAACGTTTTTATCACAGACTAGCAGTAGAGCACGGCGTTGCCCGGGGATGTAACAGTAAGAGATAGATCAAGTATTGACCATCATAAAGACTGAAAAATAAAATTGACAAAGATTATTGATTAAGGTTGATGGACACGCATGTCTTAATTATTTTTTTTTTTTTTTTTTTTTTACGAATTGGTCAAACCCAAACTCAAACATTGTTTTCAATCGTTATGAGTCTACCCATTGAATAGAATTTTATTATAAAAAATTGTCTTGTAAATGGAATTTTTAAAGCATTCTGAATGTAAAAATAAAGAAAAAAGTGTGCAAGACAATAAGAAACACTACCTGCCAAAAAAGTGAAGTTTTGTTGAAATCCGTTGAAAAATGTAGAAAATCCGATCCCATATATAAACAAACACACACACACACACACACACACACACACACACACACACACACACACACACACAAACTGGATTTTATAATAAGTATAACTTGATATGAGTTGTCCCCTTTTCATTCTCGTGATGACTTTTAATCGTGTTTTTCAAATTGATTTTGTGCAAAAACAATTGTGTTTTCAATTTCTGGCGCTGTCAGAACCACAGCAAGGTAATTTTACTCAGTCCTGTAAAGTTTTGTTGAAATCTGTTGAAAAATGTAGGAAATCCGATCCAATATATAAACGTACAGACACACACACACACACACACACACACACACACACACACACACACACACACACACACACACACACAACCTGGGTTTTATAATAAGTATGATCTCAGAATCTGTGACAGGGCGAAGATGGAAACGGTGAAATATGGGCGGAGTTGTTTTCAGGGCATCAGCCAGTTCTTGTCTGTGGCGTTATGCGGGAAGTATGAGTGAAATACAGTCATTTTTTTTTTTGTCTTTTTTCGACCGTCGGATTTACGGACATTCGTTCAAATTGTAGCTGTAATGTCGGTTAAAATAGACAACCGTATCTTATTGTTGCATAGAAAAAAATAAAGAAAGCCGTGCAGTTGTTTAATTACACCTGAAATAAAAGGGTTTAAAGAGTGACTGTTTTGTAGAAAAGTAAAGATTGTGCGATTCCATACACACACACATAAAACCAAACACACACACACACACACACACACACACACACACACAGCGCGCGCGCAAACGCACAGACACACAGATTCAAGTAAGGAAAGAAAAGTGTTTTCCGCATTTCTTCCCTACTAGTCATGTCGTAATTTGCCGTAGCGATAACAACTTTACAAAGATAAATTTACTATTTCCTTCTTCACATTGACCGACACTGTCGTTGCTGTATATATAGATATGTCTTATCTAAATTTCCTGATGGGTTCATTTGACTTTAAGGACATCGTTTACCCGTTTTTTTTTTTTTGATTCTTGTTAAAATACATCCAAACACCGTTTGTCTTGTAGCAATGATTTTCCTTATGTTGAGCATAAATAATTTGCGTTTTGATTGTCCAAATTATTCTTCGAAAGTAAAAGAATGAAAAGTTCGTGAAGAGGACATAATATTCTGAAAATATTTTATACACAACTATATTAATATTCATGTAATATCTTATCCTAATGCAATAAAAACAAGTATGGGACAATACTTATATATAAACATATATACCCTACACGCAAGCTGCTAGTGGCCCGCTGGCTGGCCGTTGATGGTAACGATAGCGGTCCTGTGGTGGCAGCCACCGACAGGCTTGAGGCTCACCAGTGGTACGCCAGCGATAACATTGCCGTTAATAAGTTAATCATTAGGCTGGAGATGAATATTAGCTCGTCTTGCAGTGTCAAAGAAAGTCTTTGTCTCACTGTAAAATATCTGTCTACGCTTTCTCTCTCTCTCTCCCCTCTCCCCTCTCTCTGTCTATATATATATATATATATATATATATATATATATATATATATATATATATAAGCGTTGCACCCCAAGCAAGGCGGGAAGCCACTAGCACACAAGGGGTTACAGAGAGTTGGAGTGAGAGCAAAGAGGAATGATAGAGGAAAGGATGAGTAGAAGGATAGGGGATAGATCAGGGCATCTGGAGACGTCGACTGACATTACATTTGAATAATTCGAAATTATAGGGAAACAGGAAAAGGGGAGGGTGTTCCACAGGCGAGAAGTGCAAGACATGAAGATATTGGAGTAGAAGAGCCGGTTACATTTAACAGTATCGACAGTGAAAAGGTGAGAGCGAGATGCCAGCCTAGTTGAACGCTTAAATTCATGTAGTCTGGAAACTAGCGAAATCAGCTCATCGTAGCAGTTACCGTTAAAGTACTTGTAAAAAAGACAGAGAGAGGCGATGGCAGGTCTGTGAGAGAACGACTGCAGACGAGATGTCAGATCAGGGCCAATTACTTTCCATATCTGTCTCTGGATATTATCAAGGACCTTGAGACAAACATTAGGGGCTCCAGGCCATATATCTCAGCAATACTCCATGCAAGGGTGAATGGTTGATTTGTAGATTTGAAGGATCGACTCCTGTGAAAAATTTTTTAGCGCTGCACAGGGAGCAAACCTTCTGTGCAGTGGACGAAGTTATATATATATATATATATATATATATATATATATATATATATATATATATATATATATATATATATATAGCATTAAACAAAGTCACCAATCTGCTACTGGGTGGCCTGCCACTAGCGTTTACTGTCGGGCTGCGCGCAGTATCGTCACGCCAATGTTACCACTGGCGTGCCACCAGTGTGAGCCTCAAACCTGTCGGTGGCTGCCACCAGAGGAGAGCTGGCGTTGCCATAGGAGAAAGGGACATTTAAAACAGAAAGGTAGCGTTCCGAAAATTATTGGGCGTACCCAATTAACAACCTGTCAATATATACTTCCTGACAGTGACAGAAAACCCTCAAGTAAAACGGGAGAATATCATGAACTTCAGAAAATTTTAAAAATACAATAAAAAACGGAACATATGCGGTTAATTTTAATTTTTTAATACTTATTTGTTGCATAATGCATTCCTCAGATTTCTCAGAGACAAAACGCGTCTTGCAAGATAAGTGTTCTTTTTTTGTCTTTATTCATATATATATATATATATATGTGAAAATATATGAAAACATAATCGAAGAAAGAATGGTCTGCAATCCTTTATGCTGAAGATATGGAACGAATTATTAAATACAATACAGGTCACGTGTCTATGGGATATTTCAGAGTTGATCCACATATCTCATGTGAACATTGAAAGGCAATTGAAGTCACTTGAGTTCGTGAATCGCTGCAATTTTCTTGCCTGCGACTATACAACGGGAAACGAATATAATGGACAAGGTTTGTATCTACGATTTGCTGCTCAACACAATAATTATTTTCGAAAAAAAGAAACAAGAAAATAACTACCAAGCTACGGTCATCATCCGAAGAATGGGATGCTGAGTATCTAGTTGTAATGGAAGGAAATTGTATATTACGTGCTCCAAGGCTCAAATTAGTCGCTGAACTCTGACAAGTACTATCCTATATTGCATAGAATAAAGGTAGCAATCGATGAAAAACCTACGGAGGTTGACCGTCAGACGTGTGTAGTCTTCCATTAAGTCCGGCAGAAATTGATACAACTTGGCTTGGGATGGACATTTCTATCTTATGTCCTCACCACAACATACAGTTTCGGATTTCGACCCATACGATATTTTATTAATTGGAAGAACTTTAATTTTCTCCAAGTTTCTAAAACCACTTAGAACAAATCATCACCCAGAAAGATGCCGTATTCTCGGAGTATAAAAACATTAAGTTGCCTCTCTCAAAGATGGCGAAAGATACCAGGGAAAATGGCACATCGGTATATCAACAAAACTATGTGTAATATATGTATACATTTATAAATATTGACTTTAAATTTCAATGAAAAATCGCGAATAATTTGTTCCGGCTAATTTACGAAAATATTTTTTGTTGACTGCATTTCAGAATACCTCAGTACATGAATATTTAATTATATTTCTCTATCATGATTATTATTAGTAGTAGTATTTATACTCTATCCTAGTGATTTCATAGTCTGCTTCCCGTGAAAAAATGATTTTCCAGATATGAACACAGTGGCATTTCTGGCATTTTTTTAGATAGATAGATAGATAGATAGATAGATAGATAGATAGATAGATAGATAGATAGATATTAATAAGGAGACACGCGAAACATTAAATTTTATGGAAAAATATTCCTGATCGTAACTAGAAATTTTCAACACTTCATCATACATTCTTCTATTTTCAGATTCCCTTCATGGCGTTAGCGATCATGGCCCTCCACAGTTTCCTCTCCTTTGTAGCTCTTAAGAAATTTTTGTCTGTTTGCTATCTCCCCTAAACCTTTATCCGCCCTCTATTTACTCAAGCTCTCTAAGTATGTTACACGTTGTTTTCCTCTGTGACTCTTGCCCTCAATCTGTTCTTTCGAAGACCTCTTTCTCCATTATGTACACGGGGAATTTTAACTGTCCTTAGCCTCCAAAGCGGAACAGAAATGCGCATTCAGATTTCTATGTCACGTTCTCCTTTAGTCGGCGAGAAGCAGTAAAAATCTAAAGAACAATATCTAAATAAGTTATCCGATAAATGTGTTGAAAGAGAAGCGAAAGAATAAATATACTGTTTTATGGATATATTGCTAATATATCATTGCTTGATTTAGCAACCAGTCTGTAATCTGCATTTAGCTTTTAAGCTTTTGGGAAAGCTAGCATATCTGGTGAAACTGATTAGACCTAAATGAAGATTGCTTCAGGATATCGTCGTTGAAATGTTTTCACTTGTGCTTTCATTCATGTATTCGCTAATTATTCCAGCTGTGAATTGTGATTTGTTCATTTTGCTATACACTTTCATTGATTGAGAAACATTATTCAGTGATTCTGTTGGAGGTTTTGAGATAAGGTTTTATCATTATTATACGCCTTGCTATTCGGGTCAGCCTATGGGTCATCTTAATTGTTCTACTCACAGCTTATAGCAATACATATGTTAATGGCCATGTCTCATCTGAAAATTTCCGACAAGAATTAAATCAGTATGGACTCGACATCATACGCTAATGGTTGAAATGCTGTGAGTTTGACAAACTGATGAGCATGATGGTTGCAATCTCAAGGTAGATTTTATTATATATGGCTTCAATTTACATAAATGTTATTCAGAATGCTTTATTTGTTCCGATTCTTTTCGGCATTTTTTCATATTTCATCTTTTCACTGATTCTTCCTGTGTGTGTGTGTGTTTTTTTTCGTTTCTCTGCTGATTTCTAGACTTAATTTTTTTCTTTCCGTTCATTTCTTGTTTTATTTCTTACATCCTACAGTTTTTTTTCTTTCTTTAGTTCTTTCTTCCCTTTTTATTTATTTTTCATTTTCTTTTCTTGCTTTTTTTGTTCTTTCGTTGTTTTTTTGTTTGTTTTCTTTATCCTTCATTTGTTTTCTTTTTTTTCTTTCTTTCTTTCATTTTTTTCCCTTTTTTCTTTCTCTTTTACTTTTCCTTCTATATTCTTTATCTTTCTATTTTGTTTCCTTTTTTTAATTTATTTCCATGTTTATTATTTACTTCGGTTTCTTTCTTTTTCTTTCTTTTTTCCTTCTTTCTTAATTTCTTTCTCTCTTTCTTTCTTTATTCTTTCTCTCTCGCTTTCTTTCTATATCTTTCTTTCTCGCTGTCTTTTTCTTTCTTTCTCGCTGTCTTTTTCTTTCTTTCTTTTTTCTTTCTATTTTCTTTCTTTTTCTTTCATTTTTCTCTCTTTCTTTATTTTTTCTTTCTTTTTTTTTTTTTCTCTTTCTCTCTTTCATTCTTTATTGGTCTCTTTTTTCTTTCTCTCTTTCTTATTTTCTTTCTCTTTTTCTTTTTTCGTTCTTTCTTAATTTCTTTCTCTCTTTCTTTCTTTATTCTTTCTGTCTCGCTTTCTTTCTATTTTTTCTTTCTCGCTGTCTTTTTCTTTCTTTCTTTTTTCTTTCTATTTTCTTTCTTTTTTTTCTTTGATTCTTTCTCTCTTTCTTTCTTTTTTCTTTCTTTTTTTTTTTCTTCTTTCTCTCTTTCATTCTTTATTGGTCTCTTTTTTCTTTCTCTCTTTCTTTTTCTTTCTTTTTCTTTTTCTTTTTTTTCTTAATTTCTTTCTCTTTTCTTTTTTTTATTCTTTCTTTCGCTTTCTTAGTATTTCTTTCTTTCTCGCTGTCTTTTTTCTTTCTTCTTTGTCTTTTCTTTTCTTTTCTTTTTTCTTTCTCTTTCTTTTCTTTTTTTTCTCTCTTTCTTTTATTTTTCTTTTTTTTCTTTTCTCTCTTTCTTTCTTTATTGGTCTTTTTTTTTTTCTCTTTCTTTTTTCTTTCTCTTTTTCTTTTTTTTTTTTCTTAATTTCTTTCTCTCTTTCTTTCTTTTTCTTTCTGTCTCTTTCTTTTATATTTCTTTCTTTCTCGCTGTCTTTTTCTTTCTTTCTCGCTGTCTTTTTCTTTCTTTCTTTTTTTTTCTATTTTCTTTTTTTTCTTTCATTTTTCTTTCTTTATTTTTTTTTTCTTTTTTTTTTTTCTTTTCTCTTTCATTTCTTTTATTGGTCTCTTTTTCTTTCTCTCTTTCTTATTTTTCTTTCTTTTTCTTTTTCGTTTCTTTCTTAATTTCTTTCTCTTTTTCTTTTTTCTTTTATTTCTTTTCTTTCTCTTTTTCTTTCTTTCTTTTTTCTTTTTATTTTCTTTTCTTTTTCTTTCATTTTCTCTCTTTCTTTCTTTTTCTTTCTTTTTTTTTTCTTTTCTTTTCTCTCTTTCATTTTTATTGGTCTTTTCTCTCTTTCTTATTTTCTTTTCTTTTTTTCTTTTTTTCTTAATTTCTTTCTCTCTTTCTTTCTTTTTCTTTCTGTCTCGCTTTTTTCTTTTTCTTTTTTTTTTCTTTTTCTTTTTTCTTTTTCTTTTTTTTTTTTCTTTCTTTTCTTTTTTTTTCTTTCTTTTTTTTTTTTCTTTCTCTTTCTCTCTTTCAAACTTTATTTCTCTTTTTTTCTTTCTCTCTTTCTTTTATTTTTTTTCTCTCTCTCTCTTTTTTTCTTTCTTTCTTCCCCCTGTACTTATTTCTTTTTAATTACCTTTTTTTCTTTTACTTTCCTTTTCTCTTCTATATTTCCTAATGTTCAATAATGTTCATCCTTTTAATAATTCCTTTGTTGTTCTTGACAGGAATGTTGTTTTTTTCTAGATTCATCTCTTCTCATTCCCTTTACTATTTTCTCTCACACGTCTTTCAACTTCTTTTCCTTCCTTTCATATTATGCTCATCTTTCTTTTTTCTTTTCCTCGATTGTTTTTTTTTATCTTTTCTTATTTTATGTTCATCTTTCATCTTCAATTCCTCTATGCTGAAAAGTCTTTACATTCAGTCCGCGATTTCTCTTCTTTCTTCAAGTCGCTCATCTCTTTGTATTTTTGGACAATGACCTTCTTTAACATTCACACTCTCCATATGTTCTTTGTTCACCTGACTTCGTGCCATTTCTATTATACGTGATATTTGCTCTTTACCAAACCAAGAACACGAGGCTTTTGTCTTTCGTGTTTTAACTTTTAGACATTTTTTTGTTATTAAATACTTTTATATCTAAAAAGGTTCGACGACTCAGATGTATAAAGACAGCTTCCTTTCGATAATGACACATTTTATTTGATATTCAAATTGTTCAAAACAACTTTGTCCACAGGAAACAAGCTGAATTTACATGCCTGTTTCAGATTTCGTTATTTTGCCATTTCTCGGTTGATGTATCTGCATGTTCACTTTAATTTATATTCAAGCAGCAAGGTTTCTTTATCTTTTTTTTTTAATTTTAGATAGCTTCCACCTTTCTCATAAAATATACGAGAATTAAATGGAGTTAGGGTAAAACCTGTGGCAGTGGAATATTTAAACACTGCATGACCAATGATATAGTAAACTATATTTCTTGTTTGAAATTATTAGGTGAAACGATTTTTCTTCGTTTTATTTATATGGACGAATATCTTCATCTTTGCTGTATTTCCCATATAGTATACGTCATATTTTGTGCTGTGAATCTCCTACTAATATCCTGAAATTAAGAATTTCAATATTGTATGAGTTATTCCGACGTTTATAATCTAATATTTACATCAGATATTCGTACCATCGCCGAAGTTAAGCAACGTTGACCCTGTTCTGTGCCTAAATGGGTGACCACCTGGGAATACCAGGTGCTGTAAGCTTAGATATGTGAGTATCTATGATAATGGCTCGGAATTGTTAATCGGAGATCGGAGTTCCAATTACAGTTATTTCGTTATATTCACTTGCAAGCAAATACCCTTGGGACAGGAAAGAATCCACCTCTTCTCCTCCCAGCTATGGGTTAATCAGTAAGACTTGTATCAATAAATCATTATTATCTAAAACAAAAAATATCTTATAATCTGAAAATAATTCTTGTTTTTAAAAAACTTGCAAAGATTTAGTAAACCGTAGATAACAAATCAATCAATAAATAAATCCTATATTTGCTGATAAGGGTTCCGGCTATCCAAATAAATATTTTATGGGATTTCGAAATAAGTCATTGTTGTTATTCCATACATTAGTCGTACTAGTTCTGCTGTTTTGGACATTTTTTGAGTCAATCTCACCACACGCTCCCCATATTTCAGCCATTAAATCATTCCTTCCATAACCGTTTAAAACATAATAGCTGCGATATCTCTAGGGAAAAACGGCCTCATATAGTCCGTCTTGTATTCCTTCTCCTAGATTCGTTGTCATCTCAAGGTAAGATATCAGTCAGCCCTACTGTCTAACACATATCAGGAGGAAGATGAATTCATGCTTATTCCAAAATCGCTACTCGTACGATCACTGGAGTTAAGTAAAGTCAATCTTGGATCAGTGCGTAGATGGGTGACCTTATTAGGAATATCAGATGCTTAAGCTTGCATATGCAAGTGGTGTAATGGATAAAGCATTGAAATCGAAGAGCCGGGTTCCAATTAGAGTCGGGCTCGTTATATTCTCTTCGGAACAATATGGCTTTTTCTTCTAGCTAGAGGTCAAATAGCAAGATTTTTATTTGTAAAAAAAGCGTTATTATTTCCACATAAATTCTTACAATTTAGCTGATATTTTCTTGCTTGAAATAATCTTCCAACTATTGATAAGCCGTAAAAAAGAACACCTCAATTTGAGCAAGAAGAAACAAAACAAAACAAAGGGAATAATCGGAACTCAAATACTAAATTTCATCGATTTGATTTTTTTAAGGTTTATCAACCATTTGTAGGTTATTTAAAGTCAAAAAATATTTTTTAAGGTTTATCAACCATCTGCAGGTTATTTAAAGTCAGAAAATATTTTTTAAGGTTTATCAACCATTTGCAGGTTATTTAAAGTCAGAAAATATTTTTAGATTATAAGAATATTTTGAAGATAATAATGGCTTACTGATTCTTGTTCATCAACTCATAGCTGCTTTGTGACGAGATGGATTCATACCTTTTCCAAAGATATTTGCACGTAAGTGAATATTAACAAGCCGACTGAAATGTGTTGTATCGTCGAGGTGAATGATACACAGTAAAGAATGAGAGCATAACAGATTTATTCAGCACCAGTATCCGGTGCTAACGGATACATAGAAAAACACAGAACAATAAGTTACTAAACAATTAACAAGACAACTTAAAAGGAATAGAGGAGAGTCAGATGCTGTATAACCAAACGAAGTTCAGTCCGAATATTAATCAGTTTAGAGTTATTAATCAACTCTTGAAGTCATAAATTGTAGACTAAGCCTATGAACCAGGTCATCTGGTAGAGTGCTGAAGGGGTGTTAGCTACTCCACAACAGAATTGGAACTCGGCTTCGTATCAGTAAGAACTAATTATTACTTCAAAAATTTCTTACAATCTAAAACATTTTCTGGATTGAAATAATCTGAGAGAGATTGATAAACCGTAAAAAGAGCAAATCAACCACTTAATCACGGCTTTTCGAACAGCATTAGTGCGAACAGAACGGAACTGGTAATTGAATTCGAAACGCTGATTTCAATTTTCCCGTCGGCAACCCTTACACTATCCGCACGTCCTAAAATAATATTACTAAAAATTTACTCTCGATCTGTTCCTATAGATCCGCCTACTGATATATTTGCCCCTATTTACTCTGATTATATATTTAAAAATTAACGTCTGTCAAGGATAACCTACCGTGCAAGGCGCCATTTTGGAAGTTTTACTACGTCGTGATATGATTTATTTTTTTCTCGCTGCAATTTCGAATTTTTTTTTACATTTTATTTTTACATTTCTTATCCATGTCAATTATTTTTTTCCTTATGACTGATAAAAAGAAAAAAAAATGATTTAAAAGAGAAAAAAATGAAATACAAATCAAATGTCTCCTTCCTGCCCACATTCGTTTGCTGAAGACATCATATATATATATATATATATATATATATATATATATATATATATATATATATATATAACTGTCGTGATTTTGTAAAAATAAATTTGACGGTTAGTCAAACGAAAAAATGTATATATTTTTTTATTTTTTTATTTTGATATCAATTATTTTTTTCCTTCAGTACATCAGATAAGAAAATTTATCTTCATCACGTGACATTGCCATTCGTTATTTTTAAGGCGAACAATGCCAGATGAAATCACGCATATCTGCTGAAATAACATTCTCATCCCAAAACGCAACGTCTTCTTGTTCTTTAATGTCATTGTATGAATTTCCTTACATATAATTCTTTTTCTATGTGCCGTGTTCCTTCAAGCAGTTGGCGAACATTGCTATCCGCAGGTTCCTGTCCTTTGTAGCTCTGAATAAGTTTTGCCTTTCTGTTATTTCTCCTAAAACTTGTTCTGCTCTCCATTTAGACAAGTTGTCTACGTGAGTTATTCGTTATTTTCCACTGTCCTTTGTTTTATTCTACCCCGTGAAGCTGGAACTGTTTTCTCCTTGGACCATGCATGCTTGGTCTTCCACTTTATGTACCTTGTCTCCCAGTACGTAGGCGATCATGGCTCTCCACAATTTCCTGTTCTTTGTTATTCTTAAGAAATTTATTTTCGTTATTTCTCTTCAAACCTATTTCGCCATCCATTTACTTACGCTCGTCAAATATGTTTATTTTCCTCTGTCTATTTTGCTCTTAGTGTTTCCTGTGAGTTACAGATTTTCCAAGCCTTCTTTCTTCATTATATACCCCAGAAATTTCAGGTGTCATTTCCTGATGTTAAGAATAAACTTCTGATTTTTTACCATTTTCTCTGAAACTTATGGTCAGTCTATGGTATCCTCAGCTTATATCTATAGAATCACATTTCTGTCGTCACAAGTCTCTTCCTCATATATGAGGAGATTGTCCAGCATTCACTGCCATATAGGAAGATATATATCACGTAACAGTTTAGCACTCTTTTCTTTCGTTCTAAAGAATTTTTTTGTCTCTAAATACTCTGCTTTACCCCAATGCGACTTCGGATTTCAGTGTCTCACTTTTCGATTCTGCTCGAACATTTCCCAAATATATGCGTGGTAGCACACTTTAAACGTGAGAGGGCGCAAGTATAAAATTCCCCATTAAAAAAAAATAAAAGAAAGAAAAACGAATTTAGTTTTATGTAACAAAAAAAGAAGAAGAAAAAGGTAATAATGCAAAGCAAAAACCTCTGAAAATACTTTACTGACTTACGTGCAAATGTCTACACTTAACAACACCTTGTAAACAGATGAGTGAAGATCTTAAAGTGACTTCTTACGTATTCAATACACGAACTTCGAAGGGTGCGGATGTAGGCGCAAACGACTTATGC